TGGGGCCACCAAAGAACGAACCCCAGCCAGCCCGACTCGCTTCGTAACCTCTCCTCGCCCATCCTCCTCCTCCTCCTATAAAGGCCAGAAGTTGCCTTTTTCTAACCCTTCCTCCGCACAGGGGATCCTTTCTAGAACTCTACTAAGAAGACCCACTTTTCTTCCACCCCACTGACCTCGATCTTTCCAAGCTACTGTCCTCTCTCGCCTGGACTGTCACGATGCTCCCCAGCTGCTCCTTCTCCGGGCTCCCCTTCCCAATCCGTTCCCAATCCGCAGCGAGTGAGCATTTAAAGCAAACTCGCTCCTCTCTCTAAATCCCCCCAGCAGCAACTTACCTTTGTGGGATAAGGACGGACTGCTAGCTGGTCATCCACCGTCCGAGCTCTGCCTGTTCTTCAGCCTTAGCTCTCCTACTTACCCCCTTCCTACCCCACATTCTGGGGTTCCCTGCCCTGTTCCCCTTCACCCTGTGCTGCCTTTGCAGGTGCTTTTCCTGCCACTGGGAGGGCCCTCCCCCCTCTGGAACTGGTGACCCTCGTGCGCCTTAGGGTCGTTTCTCCTGTGAAGCCATCCTGACCCTCCTCCCCGGTCTAGAGCTGATCACGCTCCTTTGCGACCCCTTCGCCTTCACAGAATCTTATTGTCACACCCATCACCTGCACCTGCGATGATCTGTTTCCACACCTGACGCCCGGCCCCCACCCGAGACTGTTGTTAGTTCCTTGAGGACATGACTGGCTGAGTAAATGAAGACACAAGCTGCTTCCCTCTTATATATATATCTCTTGACTTCCTAAAGCATCATGCTGTTGTCTACCAGGAGGGAAAGAAACAGCTTAATATCGGAAATAAAGGAGACGCGCCCACTCGGGCAGTTGTGTAGAAGAGCCACGTCGGAACGTGAAGCAGGGATTCTGGCCTCCATCCCAGACGCGCTCTCTTGCCCCACTGCCAGCCGAGCTCAGAGGGTCGTGTTCCTTCCCCCTTAGTTCCCATCTTCTGCGGCTTCTGGGGAGGTTGGTTGGAAATTTGAGTGGTTATGGGTAGGGAGCAAACAGAGTGAGTTAAAGAGCGATCACTACTTAACAGCAGGGGGAAAACCCCAAAACCAAACCTGCAAAGAGCTTGAGTGACTAAATGCATTTAGTGGCTGGAAGGGAGGAAAAATTATTTTTCCTCTACCCTTCTAAGTTCTTCGCTGAAACCACATTGTAATTTAGAGAGAGGAAAAAAAAAGTAACAGGGGAGAAACAAACTGAACTTTAATAACATGTATAATAACATATATACCTCCTGTATACATGGGAGAGATCCCGGAAAACCGAGAGACTCCCAGAAATGGCCCAAGCCACCACCTTAAATACCATCTCCAGCTAAAGACAAAACACGACATTGCAGGGAAAG